CCCCCCCAGACCTCGATGGGGGCCCGGATCCGGCGCTGGAGCCTCAGGATGTTCCCAAATTTCGAGGTCAGGGCCTCCCGAGCCGCCCGGCCCCGGAGCCGCACCAGGAACGCCCGGATCTGGGGGGGAGGAGGGAATTTGGGGGGGTCAGGGGAGGTTGGGGAGGCGGGACCCCCCCCCCCAAATATTGGGGAGGTTCCAAAAATCCGCCTCTAAAAATTGGGGATCCCCCCCCAAGCCACCACCTCCTTCCTAAAAGTCCCCCCAAAAATTGGGGACCCCCCTCCCAAAAATGGGGGAAGACTCCTAAAGGTCCCACAAATCCTTCTGGGACCCCCCAAAATCAGTCCCAAAATCCCCCTGGGATCCCCAAAACTGGCCCAGGGACCCCCAAAATCCATCTGAGACCCCCAAAATCCGCCCCAAAATCCCCCCTGGGGACCCCCAAAATCAGCCCCAAAACTCCCGCTGGGACCTCCCAAATCAACCCTTGGGGACCTCAAAAATCTCGCTGGGAACCCCCAAATTCCCCCAGGGACCTCCCCCCTCCCCTAAAAATCGGGGACCCCCAAAAATTTGGGGAGCTTTGGGAGGGGTCCCTGAGGGGGCTTTAGGGGGTCTCTGAGGGGATATTTGGGGGTGATTCGAGGGGTCTCTGGGGGTCCCTGAGGAGAAAATTTGGGGGGTCTCTGAGGGGAGTTTTGGGGGGGGGACCGGGAGGGGAACTGGGGGGCGGCGGAGGGGGGTTTTGGGGGGGTTTTGGGGGTCTCTGAGGGGGCGATTTGGGGCGGAATTTGGGGTCTCTGGGGGGTCCCTGATAAGGGTTATGGGGGGTCCCTGAGGGAGGAATTTGGGGGGGTCCTTGAGGGGATACGGTGGGGGGGTCCCTGGAGGGGGATTTGGGGGAGTTTTGGGGGTCCCTGAGGGGACAGTTTGTGGGGGTCCACGATCCCTGGGGGGAGTTTGGGGGGGTCTTTGAGGGGGACATTTGGGGCCTCCCCGAGGGAACAATTTAGGGGGTCCTTCAGGGGACAATTTAGGGGTGCCCAAAGGATCGGGTTTGGGGGTTCCCTGAAGGGGCCGATTTTCGGTGCGTCTCTCCCCCTTCCCTCGGCGCCCACCTCGGCCTCGCTCCTGCGGGGCAGCCGCTCCCGGAGCGCCCTCAGCGGCAGCGCCTCGGGGAAGGAGCCGAGCGGCCCCTCCTGCGCCTCCCGCAGCGCCGCCAGCAGCGCCCGCTTCTCCCGCTGCCCCCACGGCCTCCCGGGGCAACTCCCGGGGCCACTCCCGGGGCCCTGCGGGGGCTCCGCGAACCGCGACGGGACGAGGCGGGGCCGCCCCGGCGGCTTCATGG